AAAAAAAAAAAAAAAAAAAAAAATTAAACGAAACAAATCCACTGGTTGTAAGTCATGTCACCATGCAGCCACTTCTGGAAGGTATGCGTGCATGGAAAACAAACAAAAATGAAGGAAAGAGAGATTCAGTTCACCAAAATCGAATCAAATCAAAAGATAATTACCATCCCAGACACTAATATTTATTGTAAACGTGAATTTCTTGAATCAAACACTTGGGGGAAACTGATTTATGTAGTTTTCCATTCATTGTTCCACAATCTTGCATCAAAAAACACAAATATAAACAAAATATCTCAGTAATTTAGCACATTAAACCATTTCAATCAGAGTTGTTTTTACATTATTCCTGCCTTTATCTCAATATGCACGATATAAATAAATTAAAAAATGTAAACTGTGATCATTTTTACCATGTTTGTGTTCAAACTTTGTATACATGGACAATAATCCATTATGGTACAATGTTGTCTCAACGTGCATTTTTTTTTACATTTCCTACATATTTGATAACATTTCATGAAAATACTTAAAACCTTTATTAATCACTGATGATAGTTCATAGTTTTGAAATGGAATTATTTGTGTGAAAATGAGTGGCAAAGGCTGGTTTCTGCAGAGGAAATTTGAGGCTGTGTGAGGCGTTCACATGTGCTGAAAAAAAGTGGGAAAATGAAACTCGTGGCTGCTGTTTTACGTTTTTATTAGTGTTTGAACTCCCCTGAATTAGTCATTAACCCTTTAGTGCTTCCCTCCAGCCTATTTTAGACTTTTAAAGTAAAATAAGACATTTAATTAGTTAAATATTAAACTTGTTTTTGACTAAACCCACCGGTTTGTCAGATAAACCTGCCACCTTCTGATCATCTCTGGTACTGGGCAGTATTTCAGACATCTCTGTCTCTCCTCAGGTGTGACGTGGGGGAAGGTGGTGTCCTTGTACGCCGTGGCGGGGGCTCTGGCGGTGGACTGCGTGCGCTACGGTCACCCAGCATATACCCACAGCATCGTGGACTGCCTGGGGGAGTTTGTCCGCAAGAGTTTGGCTTCCTGGTTAAAGAAGAGAGGAGGCTGGGTAAGAAAAAAAAACTGATTCTGTGCTTGTTGTTATAAATGTGTGAATATGTTTGACGTGAATCAAAGTTAAAGTGTGTACCTCACACAGCTTTAAAGTAGACACATCAGCTAAAATTCACCTTTTCAGTCGCTAAAAATATTTTGTGTGGACTTGGAGTCTATAAGTTGAAAAGTTATATTTAGTCTATCCTGGTGTTGCAAAGATATCTTTATATTCTGTTTGCGGCACATTTTCAACTTGTTCAGTTTTCTTTAACCCCTATTATTAATTAGTTTGAACAATAAACTTGCAGTATTTGCTGCAGAGCTGTTTGACTCAGATCGGATTTTCTGACTTCTGAGTCAAATATATAAGCTGGAACAGTTCCTAAGTTTGCAGTTTTGAGTCCAGAAGTCGGTGTGACAAGACCACACCAGAGGACGCATGACGTCATCATTTCTACATGTCATATTTGATGTAGCTGAGAATAATTTTCAACATATGTTCCAAACTGATGCTGGGAGATCATTGGGCGATATGCCAGCAGGTGATCTCTTTTTTTCAAAGGATGTTGCTTTCATTTTTTGTCTTTTGAACTTTCTGCTAGATCTGTTACATCTGTTTGTTTTGCTAAATGATTTTTGAGAAATATACCTAAAAGCATATTAGTTTAATCACAGCTAACACTTTCAGGTTTGCTGCTCTGAAATATAGAATTTGAAGAAACTATGAATCTTACATTAAATGTTCAAAGAATAAACTCTTCAAGAGCAACAACTCTGACAAGGATTTGTTCACAAATATGTCAGACATGACTCGTACGATGAAGCTGAATGAGTTTTCGACAGAACCTAATGATTTGCTGAGGCTGTCGGTACCACACACGTCTTATATCACCAAGTGCCAAATAATAACCAGCAAGTTTATCTGATGAATAATTCCACACGATTCTGCCCAACCCTATGACAACATATGATAACACTGATTATCATACACAAAGATGAAAAATGTAGAAAGCTCACAGAACGACAACGTAAAAAGTGGATTTTAAAACGTCTGCGGTTGGCAGGAGCAGAATGCCGCCGGTGTCTGCAGGCAGCGACCACTACATCACTTAGCTGCTAACTTGTTTTAGAGCAGGGGTGCCCAAACATTTTCCCTGAGAGGGCCAAAATTAAAAAACTTTTTTTCCTGTGAGGGCCAAAATTAAAATCAATCTGAGGGCCGTGGGCCAAATGCAATAAAATAAGAAATGCTTAATACTTAAGTAAAGTTGTTTTATTTTTTCTGATTAAGCTAGCAGCCAGTGTGGTTGCCCACATTCTGTTTTTTATTTTTTTCATCTCATGGACATGGAGAAAATTCAACATATGCTCAGGCAGCAAAGACTCATGGGACTTTTCATAATTTAAAATTTGAGTATATGTGGTTTTATAAGGTGTGCAAATCTATAAATGCGCTTAAATCCAATCTAAATTTCTCTTGTAGTTACTTGTATTTTATATTTAATCTCAACATAATTACAATCTAATAACCAGGACAACTGCTGGTGGGCCAAATCAAATGGCTTGGCGGGCCAATTTTGGCCCGCGGGCCCCACTTTGGGCACCTCTGTTTTAGAGGTTATGTTTATAATGATCATTTATTTAGTAGTGAGTATTAAGTTACAGGTAGTTTAATGTGGACCTCATCTGGACTTTAGGCTGCCCTAGTTCTGTGTCGTTAGCTGCTGGAAGTTAGTTGACGTTAGCGGCTACTGTTAGCATTATCTTAACAAATAAAACAGTATCAGAAAAAACACACCCTGGCAAAAAACAAATGATAATCATCGTGAGCTGTTTGGTACCGAGGTTGTAGATCCACCCGCTGAATAAAAAGTTCTACACCTCCTGTTGTTTACGTGCTTTCATCAGCTGTTCAGTGTAGTTGGCATCCAGTTAGCGCTGCACAGTCTGCCCCGGCAGACCGGTAACGGGACCGTAGAGTCCGCTCGGTGCTCGATCTTCTTCTCTTCCCTCTTATAATCAAAATAACGAATCAGCTACTTCATCGTCAAAGTCCTCACTCTGTCTCCGGCTGTTTTTCCTCCATCTCTGCCTTTGAGCTCCTCTCTTAAACTGCGGCTCGGTCCGACTCGGTCCACCTGTCCGCAGCTGGATTGGAGCTCCACGTTCATGGCCTTTTTTTTTTTTTGCATCAAAGGCACTAAAATAACTAACTAAACTTCACCATAACTATGAAATATAGTTATACAAATATAATAAATATAATAAATTTTGGACATCTCATTGCTGACTTCCGATCTCGCTGTCTCTCCATCGCAGCCGAACTTTATTCAACTTCTGCCTTTTTTTATTTTTATTCTCATGTAGATTTTTTTTTTTTTTTGCCACTTGTCTAATATTTTCAGGCTTCAGTCAGAAAGGAGTTTGGGGGGTTTACGTTTGTTCGGCGGGGTGGGGGTGACACCAGAGGGTGGAATGAGGTGTTTTCCCCTCGTGACTCAGCCCTCTTTTACATCCTCCTGCTGCAACGTGCTTCAAAYTTGACGAACATTAATAAAAAGAGCCATAATTTTATTTAATTTAATATATAATTTAATCAGTGTATAATTATTTATTATTAATTCAGTTAGAATGAGTGGAGCACTCGTAAAC